TTCAGGAATTCTAGGTATTGAAGTCCACAAGTCATAAAAGAGCCAAGGTTGCCTACCCCTGGACTAGACATACCCAATTCTATCACCCTTTCCTTATATGCTTTAGCCTCCAGTCCCCTGATCATCGTTGTTGCTCTTCTCTGTACTCTTTCTAGAGTCTCAGCATCTTTTTTACATCGTGGTGACCAAAACTGGATGCGTATTCCAAGTGTGGCCTTACCAAGGCCTTGTAAAGTGGTATTAACACTTCAGTGATCTTGATTCTCTCCCTCTGTGAATGCAGCCTAGCACTGTGTTGGCCCTTTTGGCAGCACACGGCTGGCTCCTATTTAGGTGATTGTCTACTAGGACTCCGAGGTCCCTCTCACAGTTACTACTATTGAGCAAGGTACCCCCTATCCTGTACCTGTACATTTGGTTTTTCTTGCCTAAATGTAGAGCCTTGTTTTTTTCACCACTGAATTTCATTTTGTTAGATAGCGCCTTGAAGATAGCCCAAAAAGACAATGAGGCACTACCACAAGCTAGTTTTAAGTTGCGAAGCCTGGGCAAAGTTGTGTTCAATATCGGAGACGGAGTTTTTGGGGAGACAGGTTGGAAAAAGAGGAAATAGAGGTCCTGCTTTGGAAGATGAGCACAACAGCTGAATTTACACGTGTGTAAAAAGGGGGGGGGGAAGGCCTTTGGTTCTTTAATCAAGGACACCCTCTTGACCTTGTGAACCGTTCTCTGTCCTTTACTCAAACCTCTTTCTCTTGCCTTGATTGAATTCTTTTGTGCAGAAGGGGGGGGGGAAATAATTGCCGTAATTTTGCTGGCAAATCTCAGCAATTCGAGAGATTCGGAATATGTTTCAGTAGCAGACGACTCCCTTTAGGAATAATGACTTGCAGAAGAAAAGAGGGAGCGAAAGAAAAAGAAAGAAAAGAAAAGAAAGATCTTTTCCGGATGCAATTTAATAGCGACTTCCCATCTTTGGAGACTTGTATTTATTTACTTTTTCAAGTCGGAGGGAAACAAATACAAATTATGGTTTCGGAGAACTCATTTGCCCAATTAGGTAAAATCATCAGAGCTAGAAGGGAGGGGGGTTTGCAGGGAGGAGGAGGAGGAGAACTATGGAGTCCTGGATGCTCTGAGCTGGGTGGTTTTCTTGCAGTCGTTTCATGACCCAGCTAGGAAACTTCATCAGTGCCAGAAGGGAGGGGGGCTTGCGGAGAGGAGGAGGAGGAGGAGAAGAGAAAGAAAGAGAAAAAAAGGAAGGAAGGAAGGAAGGAAGGAAGGAAGGAAGGAAGGAAGGAAGGAAGGAAGGACTGTGGGGTCCCTGGTGCTAGAGAGCTGGGTGGCTTTCTTGCAGACGTTTCATGGCCCAACTAGGTAACATCATCAGAGCTAGAAGGATGGGGAGTTATGGAGAGGAGGAGGAGGAGAACTGTGGGGTCTTTGGTGGTCTCTGAGCTTTGTGGTTTTCTTGCAGATGTTTCAAAACCCAACTAGAGAACATCATCAGGGCTAGAAGGGTGGGAGGTTTGCAGGGAGGAGGAGGAGGAGGAAAAGGAGGAGGAGGAGGAGGAGGAGAGGACTGTGGGGGTCCTTGATGCTCTCTGAGCTGCGTGATTTTATTGCAGACTTTTCATAACCCAGGTAGGTAATATCATCAGTGCTAGAAGGAAGTGGGGTTTCATAGGAGGAGGAGGAGGAGGAATGTGGGATCCTGGGTGCTCTCTGAGCTGGGTGGCTTTCTTGCAGACCTTTCATGGCCCAACTAGGGAACATCATCAGGGCTAGGAGATTGAGTGCTAACCTTTCTCCCTTCTAGCACTGATCATGTTACCTAACTGGGTTACGAAACACCTGCCAGAAAACCACCAACCTCAGAGAGCACCCGGGACCCCCACCCCCACCCCCATTTCCACCCTTTGGCTACAACTATTCTCTTTGGTAAGAAAGAACAAGCTTGGGAGAATTTTTCCGCAAGCGCTAAACGAAAAGTAGCCGATCTGCATCCGCCCAGCCTCCCTTCCTTCTAATTGCAAGGCTCCCATCAAGGTTGAGGAAGGATGAACGGGCCGTTTGTCCAGACATCCTGCGAAGCAGCAAAACCTCCAATTCCTAAATTGCTTTCCCCCCCCCCCCAGCCTCCCCCCCCCCCGGTGCCTGAGTTCTCTAGCTAATTTTTAGCCCCTGCTGTAAAAAATAAAAATAAAATAAAATCACATTATGGAAATTAAACCTAGATTGATGCAGGTGTCCTTCCAACTGGGCACCGTTCAAACTCGACCGAGCGTGCGGGCCGGTGGGGGGTGGGTGGGGGGTGGGTGGGAGGGGGTGAGAAGGATTGGAGAGAGGGAGACAACTCTGCACACCAGGCAATTTTGGAAGGATGAGTGTGAAGTTTGTCCTTAAGAGAAGAAGGTGCGAGGTTTTTTTTAAAAGAGACCCTGGTTGAATCCCTTCACATTTGCACCCGGGGCAGAAAAGTTGCTTGCTGAAAGAAGTCAGGGGCGCTCCATCCCTGGAGGTTTTTAAGAAGAGACTGGACATTCACCTGTCTGAGATGGTCCAGGTTCTCCTGCTTGAGCGATGGGCTGGACTAGAAGACCTCCAAGGCCCCTTCCAGCTGTATTCTGATTGAGTGATTGATTGATGGATGGATTGAAATGGTCCATGTTCTCCTGCTTGAGCAGGGGGCTGGAGTAAGAGACCTCTGAGTATATGTGTGTGTATATACGTGTGGGTGTAACTATATATGTATGCATGTATGTATATGTATGTGTATATGTATATATGTGTGCATATGTGTGAGTGTATTCATACATGTAAGTATGTATTTGATGATATCCGTAAAAATACGACTCCCGGGCATAATTATAAGTGAAATAAATAATATGCGACCACCAGGAGAATTTAAGTAAGAAAATACTTTACTAAAAACCGCCAAGCTTTTGTTGGGAACTCCCAACATCGTCAGGGCTAAAAAGCCAGTTAACAAAGATGATTTAAGTAGGTTTGGCTGTCATTTGCACCCGGTTCCTAGACCGCGTCACCGGCCCTAGCCGGTCAATTTGTGTTCCAGATGTTTCCTTAATATTGCGTTCTCTTCTGTCGTTCTTTCGGACCTTCCTACCTGCCCCTTCATTGTCAAGTTTTGGATTTGTTAACACCCTTGTATCCTCCTCCCCTCCGATGGTATTTACCCCCATTACATCCTTCCTTCTGCTGCAGGTCTCGGGGGGCATTAGATTCTCTAGGAACTGGGTGCAAATGTCAGCCAAACCTATTTAAATCATCTTTGTTAACTGGCTTTTTAGCCCTGACGATGTTGAGAGTTCCCAACGAAAGCTTGGCGGTTTTTAGTAAAGTATTTTCTTACTTAAATTCTCCTGGTGGTCGCATATTATTTATTTCACTTATAAGTATATATGTATAAGTATATATATGCCCCCCATCCCACTATCTAAAGCAATAATGGAAGCAGAGATGCTTTGCAAAGGGAGAAGGATATGGGGGGGAAATGGGAACACAACTAGTATAAACTGCATTTAGGTATAATAATTCTTCTGTTTTTTTACACCACGCCCTTGCTTGCTTGCTTTATCTTATTATTTTTTACGTCCTCCGCTCTGCCCTTCAAACTAGTGTAGGGATGCCAATATGCCTGCTTGCGTGAGTTTAAAAATACATCCATATGGGATGCATTTTATATTTTAATCCGTGCACCTTATTAAGGTGCTTTAAATACACGGGAACGTCAGTAAGGAGCCTACACAAGGATGGCTGACTTTAAAAACACGATGGGGAAAACATTACAGCTAAAGCAGGGTCTCTCCAAACGTGGCCCCTTTAAGACTGGCTGGGGAATTCTGGGAGTTGAAGTCCACCAGTCATAAAAGAGCCAAGTTTGAAGACCCCTGTCCTAAAGTGATTGCAGAGGAAGGGATTATAAGAGAGTAAGCTATACACACACACACACCGGGCTAAAACCACATCCGTTTGGAAAAGCTGTATGCAAACTTCCCCAGATCAGGAAAAGTTGTGTTGAAAATCGAAAGCTGTGTTTTTCAAAAATCAGAAGTCGCCAGACCCCGTGGGAGTCAACCAGAAATGAATCCCAACTAAATGAGTTAATTCTATTTTGCTGTGAAGCTACCTTGACAGAATCTTGCAAGTATGAACGTTCAAATCCCCCACCGTCTCTTTTACAGTTTGAGAAACTGAGGCTCCCTTCTGTTCCTTTTTTTCCACCCGTTATGCAGCTGAGGGCTAAGCTGCCTCTTATCTGACTGTTCCCTAAAGCTACATTAACACCATCTTGTAAGTCTGGAAATACAAATCTCCCACTGTCTCCTACACAGCCTGAGAAACTAGGGAGGGTCCCTCCTAAGCCGACTTTTCCAACCATTATGCAGCTGAGGGCTAAGCTATCTCTTATCTGACTGTTCCCTAAAGCTACATTAATTTAATCTTGTAAGTCTGAAAGTACAAATCTTCCACTGTCTCTTTTACAGTCTGAGAAACTAAGAAAGGTCCGTTCTGATCCTCTTTCTCCACCCGTTATGCAGCTGAGGGCTCAGCTGCCTCTTATCTGACTGTTCCCTAAAGCTACATTAATAAAATCTTGTAGGTTTGAAAGTACAAATCTTCCACTGTCTCTTTTACAGTCTGAGCAACTAAGGGGGGGGGGGTCCCTTCTAAGCCGACTTTGCCACCCGTTACGCAGCTGAGGGCTAAGCTGTCACTTATCTGACTGTTCTCTTGGCAGTGTCTCTTAACCTTCGTTTCCCACGGTCATTCGCACACATCCTCACACCCACTGATCAGGCTCAAAATTCACCAACCAAGATGGAACCACCAATTCAAGTTTGGCAATGTTTGGCAAAGGTTTGCTTGGCAATCAACGGATCGTATTTTCTTTTTCAGCTGACCTGAAACAGGACTAGTATAAACCACCTTCGTAATCTCTTAAATCCCTTTTTCTTTTTTTCCTCCTCTTCTTCAAGATTGAAAACGCTGGCCCAAGTGCCGGACCTGCGTTTAGACCGGAAGACGAATTAGAACACTTGACCAAAAAGATGCTTTATGACATGGACAATCCACCTTCAGAAGAATACTTTGGTGAGTTGGATGATTTATTTTCCTTGCATATTTGTGCAACTGAAAAAACGCGACTTAACGGCCAATCCTCACACTTACGACCGTTGCAGTATTCCCCCCCCCACATAATGTGATCAGAATTTGGGAACTTAGCAACCGCCATGTATTTATAATCATTGTAGCATCCTCCCTCCCTCCCTCTCTCTCTCTCTCTCTCTCTCTCTCTCTCAGTGTGTGTGTGTGTGTGTGTGTGTGTGTGTGTGTGACATGATCATTTGTGACCTTCTTTTCCGGGTTCCAACAAGTTTGAAGACCCCTGTCCTAAAATGATTGCAGAAGAAGGGATTATAAGAGAGTAAGCAGTCCGCAGGTCTGCACTTATGACCATTGCAGTATTTCCCCCCCCCCCCGGCATAATGGGATCATAATTTGGGAACTTAGCAACCGGCATGTATTTATGATCTCTCTCTCTCTCTCTCTCTCTCTCTCTCTCTCTCTCTCTCTCTCTGTGTGTGTGTGTGTGTGTGTGTGTGTGTGTGTGTGTGTGTCACATGATCGCCATTTGTGACCTTCTCTGTGGGTTTCCGACAAGCAATGTTAGTGGGGCAAGTCAGATTCGCTTAACGGCCGTGTGATTCATGAACAACTCCAGTAATTCACTTAGCAACCGAGGTGGAGTACACTTAACAGCTTCAGGGACTCACTCAGCAACCGAGACAAAACTGTCATAAAATTGGGATCGACTCACCCAACAGCCACTTGGTTGAGCAAACGAAATTCTTGTCTCAATTGTAGTCGTAAGTCGAGAAATACCCGTAGCAAAAAACTGGGAGATCTGTTGTTCAAAGGAAAGAAAAAAAAACAATATTTTAAGAAATCTGTCCCTTTGCTTGTTCTCTGATCCTTGTCTATAGAAATGAACAACTAGTGGCAGGGAGTTCCCCAGGCATTTCATTTTGCATAGGAAAAAGGTTCATTTTCAGAGGCAAAGGGTTTGGCTAGGGCTGTCTTATGGGCTCGGCGTCTACTGCAGGGTCTCCAAACTTTTAAGACTTGTCGACTTCAGCTCCCAGAATTCCTCAACCAGCCATGCCTGGGTTGGTTGGAAGACCCCTAAAGCAGGGATCTTCAAACTTGGCCCTTTTTGGCTTGTGGACTTCAACTCCCAGAATTCCTCAGCCAGGCACGTATGCCTGGCTGAGGAATTCTGGGAGTTGAAGTCCACAAGTCATAGAAGGGCCAAGTTTGAAGACCCCTGTCCTAAAGTGATTGCAGAGGAAGGGATTATAAGAGAGTAAGCTAGGCTGACTGGAGAATTTTGGAAGTTTGAAGTCTGCAAGTCATAAAAGGGCCAAGTTGGAAGACCCCTGTCCTAAAGTGGTTGCAGAGGAAGGGATTATAAGAGAGTAAGCTAGGCTGACTGGAGAATTCTGGGAGTTGCAGTCCGCAGGCCTTAAAAGTTGCCGAGTTTGGACATCCCTGCTGTTTAGACTGGGCAAGAAGTGTCCATCCCATGCCAGAAAATGAAAACCAAAAACCCAGCGAGCTATTTTGACCGCAATTGATGTCAGACAATTTCTGCAGAGAAATTCAGTGTCCCTGGCCAGGTTTGCGCATAAGAGCATTAGGTCAACTGCACTGGAATGCATTAAAAAAAAATCTGTTGAGAGCAGAGATTTTTTTGAATGGAGGGACCTAATTAACTGAGCTGGAAAGCTTCAGGGCATTATCATAATTCATGAGTATAAATTGGCCCAAATGATTACATCTGAAAAGGCAAGGAGGATTAGGAAAGGTCATTTGCTGCTTTCTGTTCTCCCTGTCTTTTCTCCTTTTTTATTTCCATCCCCCTGTTTTCACAGTTGCAAAAAGAATATGTATGTATGTATGTATGTTTTCTGATATATATATGTGTGTGTGTATCAGAATAGAATAGAGTTTAGAACAGAATAAAAATAAGAATAGAATAGAATAGAATAGAATAGAATAGAATAGAATAGAAATAAGAATAAGAATAAGAATAAAAAAGGATAGGATAGGATAGGATAATGGAATGGAATGGAATAGGATAGGATAGGATAGGAATAGAATAAAATAGAATAGAATAGAATAGAATAGAATAGAATAGAATAGAATAGAATAGAATAGAATAGAATAGAAATAAGAATAAAAGATAGGATAGGATAGGAATAGAATAGAATAGAATAGAATAGAATAGAATAGAATAGAATAGAATAGAATAGAATAGAATAGAATAGAAATAAGAATAAAAAAGGATAGGATAGGATAGGATAGGATAGGATAGGATAATGGAATGGAATAGGATAGGATAGGATAGGATAGGAATAGAATAGAATATGAATGGAATGGAATAGAATAGAATAGAATAGAATAGAATAGAATTTGGAACAGAATTTGGAACAGAATTTAGAACAGAATAAAAATAAAAATAAGAATAAAAATAGAATAGAATAGAGTACAGTACAATACAATACAATACAAGAGTCAAAGGACCCTGGAGGTCTTCTACTCCAACCCCTTGCTCAGGCAGGAAACTCTGTACTATTTCAGATATCAAACTTCAAATATCTGTTTCTAAGCATAGCGAAGCACCCAAATTTTGATCACCAGACTGTGATGATGATGATGATTGTTGTTGTTATTATTTGATATAGGGTTTCCTGCCTGAGCAGGGGGTTGGACTAGATGACCTCCAAGATCCCTTCCAACTTTATTATTATTAGTAGTACTGCAGGCCACTTTAGCTGACTGTGTTCAGCAGGTCAGCAGTTCAAATCTCACCGGCTCAAGGTTGACTCAGCCTTCCATCCTTCCGGGGTAGGTAAAATGAGGACCCGGATTGTTGGGGGCAATGTAAAATATATATATATACATTGCTTACTGGTGTACACCGCTTAGAGAGTGCTTGCACTTAAAACGGTATATAAATCTCATAAATAAATAAAATAAAATAAAATAAAATAAAATAAAATAAAATAAAATAAATAAATAAATAGTAAAATTGGGGCATTTGGCAACCAGCAAAAACAGGCAGTTGTCTACTTACGACAGTTCATTTAGCGACCATTTGAAGTTATGACGGCACCGGAAAAAAGCGATTTATAATCCTTTTTCACACTTGACGACCGTCGCCACGTCCCCCCAGGGCCATGTGATCAAAATTCAAACACTTGAACAAGGGGTTCATATTTATGATGGTTGCCGTGTCCCGGGGGGGGGGGTTTGCGTGATTCTCTTTCGTGACCTTCTGACAAGTAAAGTCAACGGGGGAAACCGGGTTTGCTTAACAACCGTGTGATTCATTTAACGACTGCCGTTGCAGTTGACAACTGTGGCCAGAATAGGGGGTTGGACTAGATGACCTCCGAGGTCCTTTCCAACTTTATTATTATTATTATTATTGGAAACGTCGTCAAATGGGGCAAAACCCACTGAACAACCGGCCTCCTTAGCAAGGGAAATTATGGACCACGTAACCGTCATAAAACCGAGTCCGTTGCCAAGCGTCCCGGGTTTGATCACACAAGCCTTGAAGATGCTGCGAATCACTTAACGACTGCAGGGATTCGCTTAGCGTCCGTGGTCAGAAAGGTCCTAAACGGGGACAAAACTTACTTCGACCATTGCCTGGCAGAGTAAGGGAAGTTCGGAAATTCCCGATCTGGGCCGTAAATCGAGGACTACCCGTATCCCCAAAATTGGGAGGCCTGACTTTCAACGGGGAGGGCGGGGGGAAAAAAGGGATTATTTTTTTCTGTTTCGAAGAGATTTTTGTCCTTCTTTGTTTTCCGGGTCTTTAGAAATCTAGGACAGCGAGGAAAACTCTCTGGGTGACTTTGAGCAATCACTAACAAACGCACACCGGGCTTTGTGCGATCAGCAAATTCACACACAGACACAGACACACACACACACACACACACACACACACACACACTAAGCAGTGATCATTTCAAGGGCCTTCCCCTTCTGATCTTTGACGGAGAAAAAGGGGGGGGGGAGTAAATATATTTATATACTACTCAGCGTGCAAAGCCCACGCAGGAACCGCGTCAGACCGACGTATGTGGGAGAACCAGCGTAAAATATTCAGAACGTTCGCTTAGTGACTGTTTGAAGTTGCAGCGGCCGTGAAAAAAGGGACTTAGGACCATTTTTCACACTTTAACGACCGTCGCAGCCTCCCCCGTGGTCATGTGATCCAAATTCAAAGGCTTGGAAACTGTCATGTACTTGTGACGGTTGCAGGGTCTCCCGGGGTCACCTGATTCCCTTTTGCGACCTTCGGACAAGCCAAGTCAACGAGGGAAGTCAGATTCACTTAACGGCCGGGTGACTCGCTTAACCAATGCAGCGATTTGCTTAACGACCGTGGTGAGAAAAGTCGTAAAATGGGGTGTGACTTACTTTAAAAACTGTCTTGCTTAGCAACGGAACTTTTGGGCTCAGCTGTGGTTGTCAGTTGAGGAAGTTACAGTCATCCCAGATATTGGCGCAAAGAAAAGGTGGCTTACGACCAGTCCTCGCATTTACGACGGTCGCAGCGTCCCTGCGGTCACATGATCAAGATTCCAGGGCAGCTGCAAACCAGCCTGTCCTGACAACGGTTGCAGCATCCCGGATTGTCACGGGATTGTCACGAACGACCTTCCCAGCTGGAAGGAAGGAAGGAAGGAAGGAAGGAAGGAAGGAAGGAAGGAAGGAAGGAAGGGTGTGAGGAGGGAGGAAGGGAAGGAAGGAGGGAAAGATGAGAGAAGGAAGGAAGAAAGGAAGGAAGGAAGGAAGGGTATGAGGAGGGAGGAAGGGAAGGAAGAAACGAAAGAAGAGAAGGGAAGGAAGGAAGATGAGAATAGGAAGAATGTGAGGAGGAAGGAAGGAAGGAAGGAAGATGAGAATAGGAAGGAAGTGACGAGGGAGGGAAGGAAGGAAGGAAGGAAGGAAGGAAGGAAGGAAGGAAGGAAGGAAGAAGGTAAGGAAGGAAGGTGTGAGAGGAGGAAGGGAAGGAAGGAAGGAAGAAGATGAGAATAGGAAGGAGTGAAGAGAAGGAGGAAGAAGGAAGGGAAAGGAAGGAAGGAGAGGAAGGAAAGAAGGGAAGTGAAGATGAGAATAGAGGAGGAAGGGAAGCGAAGGAAGTAAGAAGAGGGAGTGAAGGAGGGAAGGAAGGAAGAAGGAAGGAAGGGAGGAAGGAAGGAAGATGAGAATATGGAAGGAAGTGAAGAGGGAAGGAAGGAAGGAAGGAAAGAAGATGAGAATAGGAAGGAAGTGAAGAGGGAGGGAAGGAAGGAAGGAAGGAAGGAAGGAAGGAAGGAAGGAAGGAAAGGTGTGAGGAGGGAGGAAGGGAAGGAAGGAAGGAAAGATGAGAAGGGGAGGAAGGAAGGAAAGAAGATGAGATAGGAAGGAAGTGAAGAGGGAGGGAAGGAAGGAAGGAAGGAAGGAAGGAAGGAAGGAAGGGTGTGAGGAGGGAGGAAGGGAAGGAAGGAAGGAAAGAAGATGAGAATAGGAAGGAAGTGGGGAGGGAGGGAAGGAAGGAAGGAAGGAAGGGTGTATTTTTGCATAAGAGATACAGGATGGACGGAAGAGGTCTGAAGAAAAGCGATCTCAACCAGTCAGGCTGAAAAATAGTTACCCAACAATGGTTTATTTGGATGCTCTGTTGAAAAGGATCTTAGTTTATGGGGAGGGGGGCAGATTCATCCCTCCTCCCCCCCCCGTATTTCAAATTCAGCAAGCATTTTGATTTTGGCTCCTGGTTGGGCAAGGAAAAATTAATCACTAAAGCTCTTCAAAGCCAGAACATTTGGTACAGATTTCCCAGGCTTTTATTAGTGCGCCCATGACTCATAAACGGCATCCGAACGAAAGTTTTTTTATTTATTTATTTCCTCATCAAATTTACAGGGACACCCATCTCACGAAAAAGAGACAGTGGGCTGTATTCAACAAGGTTCTAAAACAATTGATATGTAAACATTCATTTTTTAAAAAAAAAATGGTAATAGTTATAATAGTTTATTTACATTGTAAATGAAATCACATTCTATTTTAATAATATTTAATTGTAAACACTATGAACAATATAAAGACTGAATATAAATTAATGAATAAACGTTCCCTCTTTCTCTGCAACGTATTGAGAAGTCTGTTGCCCCATTGCAGATTTCACACAACAGACAACATACACAAAACTTTATAATCCAATAAATCATGCATGTGTGTGTCAGGAAGGAAGGGAGGGAGGGAGGGAGGGAGGGAGGGAGAGAGAGAGAGGAAAGGATGAAGGAGGGAGGGAGGGAGCAAGGAGAAGAGGAAGGAAGGGAGGGAAGGAAGGAAAGGAAGGAAAAGATGAGGGAGAGGGGAGAAGAGGAAGGAAGAAAAAAAGGGAGGGAGGGAGGGAGGAAAGGATGAAGGAGGGAGAGAGCAAGGAGAAGAGGAAGGAAGGAAAAGATGAGGGAGAGAGGAGAAGAGGAAGGAAGGGAGGGAAGGGAGGAAAGGAAGGAAGGAAAAGATGAGGGAGAGAGGAGAAGAGGAAGGAAGGGAGGGAAGGGAGGAAAGGAAGGAAGGAAAAGATGAGGGAGAGAGGAGAAGAGGAAGGAAGAGAAATAAAGGAAGGGAAAGAAGGAAGGGACGAGGGAGGGTGGGAGGAAAGTATGAGGGAGGGAGGGAGGAAGGAGAAGAAGGAAGGACAAAAGGAAGGAAGGAAGGAAAAGATGAGGGAAGGAGGAGAAGAGGAAGGAAGGAAAAAAGAAAGAAAGAAAAAGAAAGAAAGGAGAGATTGCAGAGGAAGGGATTACAAGAGAGTCAACTAAGGCTTGCTGGAGAATTCGGGGAGTTGAAGTCCACAAGTCATAAAAGGGCCACGTTTGAAGACCCCCGCTGGAATGTAACGCTCAGTCAGCCGTTGCCGTCCAGAGATGACCACTCTAGTCTTCTAGACAAGATCTCGGTCCGGTCCATCTTGAAGGCAGTTTCCCAAAAAATAACTCTGGTGTCTTTCCAGACCACAATCTTCATAAATCCATTGGGGCGACATTTTTAGCACCCGTTGCGCTCCAGAGGCCATAAAACCATCTGGACACTCGCAGGGGGGACGCGTCCAGCTTGTACAATTTGTGTTGTCGGGGAACCAAGTTGAAGAGATCGAGAATTTAAACTTAAGGGTGACGTCATCTCTTCCTGAGTGGAGGACTTCTAGCTCTCTTTTTTTCGGTCCGGCTGCCCCCCAAAATGGATGGACATTGGTGAGCGAGGAGGGCGAGGGGGCACCTGGTTGGAAAAGGGGGGGCTTCTGTCGATAGACGGCCGATGTTTCTAGGTCCTCTTTCGAGAAGAGGGTCTCCCGTTTTGAGCTTTTCAGAACCATCTGTTGTTGGGTTGATCGGATGAATGATTTAAAGATGGGGTCTTCCAACGTGGCCCTTTGATGACTTGTGGACTCCAACTCCCAGAATTCCTCAGCCAGGCACGCGTGTTTCATCAAAGGACCATGTTGGAAGACCCCTGATTTAAGCAATCTGCTGGGTTCATGCGATTTTGGGGGACTGTAAAGATAAAACACATCAGCGGAATTGCGCTGATGAAACGTCTGGAAGAGAATAGCCAAGCTCAGAGAGCTCCAAGTACCTCACAGTCCTCCTCCTCCTCCTCCTCCTTTTTCCCCCTCCTCCTCCTCCTCCTCCTCCCTGTACACCCCACTTCCTACTAACACTGATGATATTCCCTAGCTGGGTCATGAAACGTCTGCAAGAAAACAACCCAGTTCAGAGAGCACCAAGGATCCCATAGTCCCTCTCCTGCTCCTCCTGCTTCTCCTCCTCCCCTCCACAAACCCCACTCCCTTTTAACACTGATGATGTTCCCTAGTTGGGTAATGAAATGTCTGCAAGAAAACCACCCAGCTCAGAGAGCATCCACTCTTCTTCGTCTTCTTCTTCTTCTTCTTCTTCTTCTTCTTCTTCTTCTTCTTCTTCTTCTTCTTCTTCTTCTTCTTCTTCTTATTCTTCTTCTTCTTCTTCTTCTTCTTCTTCTTCTTCTTCTTCTTCTTCTTCTTCTTCTTCTTCTTCTTCTTCTTCTTCTTCTTCTTCCTTCTTCTTCTTCCTCCTCCTTTCTGCAAACCCCTCTCCCTTCTAACACTTATGATGTTCCCTAGTTGGGTCATGAAACGTCTGCAAGAAAACCACCAAGCTCAGAGAGCAGTTGCACCCCATAACCCTCCTCCTCCTCCTCTTCCTCTTCCTCTCTGCAATCCTCACTCCCTTCTAGCACTGATGATGTTCCCTAGCTGGGCCATGAAACGTCTGCAAGAAAACCACCCAGCTCAGAGAGCACCAAGGACCCCTCATTTCAACCCAGTGCTGCGAAGACTTCCTTCTACTAAACAGCCAACATTTTCATGCAGTTGCCAAAAACTCTACCACCCAGCTTGGACCCCACAGAGCCAAGTTTGCATTCCGTGCTAGCTGGGCCATCGGCGCCAGACTCGGGAAAGAGTATGGTGGGAGCCAAAGGCTAGACCAGCTCCTTCCTGGTGGACTTAACGCGCCTCTCTCTGTTCCTTCCAGGCCGCTGCGCCCGCTGTGGGGAGAACGTGGTGGGGGAAGGAACCGGTTGCACCGCGATGGACCAGGTCTTCCACGTCGACTGCTTCACCTGCATGATTTGCCACAACAAGCTCCGGGGACAGCCCTTCTACGCCGTGGAGAAGAAGGCCTATTGCGAGCCTTGCTACATTGTGAGTAAGCCCCGTTCTCCTCCTTGCCAGGCACGGCGGGCATCAGACGGTCTTCAGACGTGTCGGACTTCAGCCGATGCGTCCGGAGCTCCGCTCTGACGTGTCCGTGTGAAATTAATAATAATAATAATAATATAGTTAGAAGGGAACTTGGAGGTCATCTAGTCCAACCCCCTGCTCAAGCAGGAAACCCTATACCGTTTCAGACAGAAGGCTGTCCAGTCTCTTCTTAAAAACTTCCAGTGTTGGAGAAGGGAGGGAAGGAAGGGAGGGAGGGAGGGAGGGAGGAAGGAAGGGAGGGAGGGAAGAAGGAAGGAAGGAAGGAAGGAAGGAAGGAAGGAAGGAAGGAAGGAAGGAAGGAAGGAAGGAAGGAAGGAAGGAAGGAAGGAAGGAAGGAAAAGAATAACAGAATAACAGAGTTGGAGGGACCCTTGGAGGTCATCTAGTCCAACCCCCTGCTCAGGCAGGAAACCCTATACTGTTTCAGACAGAAGGCTGTCCAGTCTCTTCTTAAAAACCTCCACTGTTGGAGAAGGAAGGAAGGGAGGGAGGGAGGGAGGGACGGCGGGAGGGAGGGCAGGATGGATGGATGAAGGAAGGGCAGGACAGATGGATAGGTAGATGGAAGGATGGATGGAGAGCAGAATGGATGGATGGATGGATGGATGGATGGATGGATGGATGGATGGATG